CATACATAACGAAATGGGGAGCTTTATCATTTCCTAAGAAAAAAAATTGAGAAAATATATTAATTCATGAAAACTTGGCTTATTAGGCAAATCGGGCCTTGCATAGTAGGCTGAGAAATGCGTTCTGGCTACTAGGTATGACACATATATATATATATATATATATATATATATATATATATATATATATATATATATATATATATATATATATATATAGTATATTTTGGTAGCAGTCTTTCCTGTAGACATATATTATTAAATATGACCGAAAAAGTAAGATTAATAATTCTAACACGAATTTTCTCAATCTTTCGTACATTACGCTTCACTGTTGGAGGTAAATCAAAAATCACTTCTCCAAAATTCATTTTTATTTCTAGTCTGACGCGACACGGGCGCGTTTCGTAAAACTTATTACATTTTCAAAGACTTCACAAATACACAACTGATTAGAACTTGCGTTTCCCTGATTTTATATCTACATTTGAGTGAGGTGGGAAGGGTGATGTGGCATTACATTTGAGTGAGGTGGGAAGGGTGATGTGGCATTAACACAAGACAGAACACTAGGGGATATTAATAGGGTATTAAAAGTATCAACACAAGACAGAACAGAAACAATGGGTATTGAATAGAAGTGTTTGTAGAAAGCCTATTGGTCCATATTTCTTGATGCTTCTATATTGGAGCGGGGTCTTGAGGTGGGTAGAATATAGTTGTGCAATAATTGGCTGTTGATTGCTGGTGTTGACTTCTTGATGTGTAGTGCCTCGCAAACGTCAAGCCGCCTGCTATCGCTGTATCTATCGATGATTTCTGTGTTGTTTACTAGGATTTCTCTGGCGATGGTTTGGTTATGGGAAGAGATTATATGTTCCTTAATGGAGCCCTGTTGTTTATGCATCGTTAAACGCCTAGAAAGAGATGTTGTTGTCTTGCCTATATACTGGGTTTTTTGGAGCTTACAGTCCCCAAGTGGGCATTTGAAGGCATAGACGACGTTAGTCTCTTTTAAAGCGTTCTGTTTTGTGTCTGGAGAGTTTCTCATGAGTAGGCTGGCCGTTTTTCTGGTTTTATAGTAAATCGTCAGTTGCCTGCCTTACCCTACAGAGTTCTTCGTCGACTTGCTTCCATTATATTAATGGAAGCAAGTCGACGAAGAACTCTGTAGGGTAAGGCAGGTCCTAGTCAATAACGGCTTCTCCAATGGTTTCATCGAAGACATCATAAGAAGGAAAGTGAAAAGCCATGCAACCTCCGAAGAGACAACTAACACAACACCTATACCCCCTATTAGACTATTTTACAGGAACTTCTTTTCCACAGCTCATAAAACAGAGGAAAGGGTCCTGAAAGATATTGTTAATAGAAACGTTATCCCTACAGACAAAAATCAGAGGATACAACTGACGATTTACTATAAAACCAGAAAAACGGCCAGCCTACTCATGAGAAACTCTCCAGACACAAAACAGAACGCTTTAAAAGAGACTAACGTCGTCTATGCCTTCAAATGCCCACTTGGGGACTGTAAGCTCCAAAAAACCCAGTATATAGGCAAGACAACAACATCTCTTTCTAGGCGTTTAACGATGCATAAACAACAGGGCTCCATTAAGGAACATATAATCTCTTCCCATAACCAAACCATCGCTAGAGAAATCCTAGTAAACAACACAGAAATCATCGATAGATACAGCGATAGCAGGCGGCTTGACGTTTGCGAGGCACTACACATCAAGAAGTCAACACCAGCAATCAACAGCCAATTATTGCACAACTATATTCTACCCACCTCAAGACTCCGCTCCAATATAGAAGCATCAAGAAATATGGACCAATAGGCTTTCTACAAACACTTCTATTCAATACCCATTGTTTCTGTTCTGTCTTGTGTTGATACTTTTAATACCCTATTAATATCCCCTAGTGTTCTGTCTTGTGTTAATGCCACATCACCCTTCCCACCTCACTCAAATGTAATGCCACATCACCCTTCCCACCTCACTCAAATGTAGATATAAAATCAGGGAAACGCAAGTTCTAATCAGTTGTGTATTTGTGAAGTCTTTGAAAATGTAATAAGTTTTACGAAACGCGCCCGTGTCGCGTCAGACTAGAAATAAAAATGAATTTTGGAGAAGTGATTTTTGATTTACCTCCAACAGTGAAGCGTAATGTACGAAAGATTGAGAAAATTCGTGTTAGAATTATTAATCTTACTTTTTCGGTCATATTTAATAATATATATATATATATATATATATATATATATATATATATATATATATATATATATATATATATGTGTGTGTGTGTGTGTGTGTGTCCTGGCTTATTAGGCAAACCGGGCCTTGCATAGTAGGTCGAGTACGACGTTCTGGCTACTAGGTACAACACATATATATAACATGAGCCCGTAGCTTACCTGGCACAGGAGCGGGGCAAGTAGCACGGGCTATGGTGAGCCCGTAGTGGACTTGCCTGGCACAGGAGCGGGGCTGTGGCCTTCGTGGGTTGTATTGTAATGCGGCAGACAATGACGTTGCAGTTGAGACTCATTACCTCATACGACTATTAATGAGAGGTTCTCTGACTGTTAGTGAGTTTCACCTATAAGGTAATAAACCCTTGGAATCGCCAACTCGTCGAAGCCATATATATATAAATTCATAAATTAATTAATTCATTGTGTAGGATGACAAGTTGCCTAACATACAGTGTATAAGGGGGCTTATACCAAGGACCCCCTCCCCCCCTCCCCAAGGTCAAATTACTGACCCCCCCTCCTAGGATGCAACCCCACAAGCCGACTAACTTCCGAGTACCTACGTACTGCTAGGTGGACAGGAGCATTAGGTGATAGGAAACGCACCCAACCTTTTCTGTCTTGTATGCATGTACTTTTAACTGAATAAACATTGGATTTGATTTGACTGTACTACCTCTTTATACTAGACAGGAATGCTGAGACACTTATTTATTTATTTATTTATTTATTTATTTATTTATTTATTTATTTATATACAAGAAGGTACATTGGGTTTGTGAGAATACATAGCATAGTATTTACAATTTTGTAAAGCCACTAGTACGCGCAGCGTACTAGTGGCTTTACAAATAGTAGTACGCGCAGCGTACTACTATTTGTTTTAAATTCCGCTTGAAAAATAAACTCTTCATTATTATTTAGGGGACTTTTGACAAGCCGTCATCTTCCTGTGCCCGCCGAGGCCACGAGAGAGAGAGAGTGGGCTCAGGTAAATTCAGGAAGAATCAGCTGGCACGTACCACTTGACCTTGCCCGAGTGTTGACATGTAAACTCCTGCTGCCAAACCTTCCAGAAATAGTTGTTTAAATAGTGATTTAATTTGTATATCTAATGTAAAGAGATAGTAAAGTGGAATTTTCAAATTCATGAATATTTAGAGGGGTTATTTTTTGCTCTATTTTTAAGCGTTGATGAGTGGTTTGGACGGAGAATTTTCTTATAGAGCGCCGTTTGGCATCTGTGCCTCAAGCAGTGACGAAAATTAACAGGTTATGTCACGCCTATTTTACGCCTAGCCTGTTTTACAGTAACAGGAACTTAACGCTTATGAAATATTATATTACATAGTCAAAAATGCTAATATAACTATTTATTACTAACAATAATTGTAGCTGTTGCATTTTAATAAGTGAAATTTAAATGCGTATGATTAGAGTTTTATCTTAACTGGACATCGCATCTTCTCAATCCTTTCCGGCCAGATTTAAAACTAATTGTGTGTAGCGAAATATAATTAAGTATTTATATATTGTGGGGGTCTTTCTTAAATGTGTAAATATCATGTTATTTTGACTTTTTATATTTAATTCCGTGACCAATAAATACGTACCGTGCTGGCCATGGTGAGCGATGTATAGCAGAATACCTCGTTCAGTGGCACCATAATAGGAAGGTTCGGAGCTCGTGGATCACCAAACGAAGCACTGAAGCCTTTTATGAGGGCAACCCTCATATATTGTGTACTCACCTAGTTGTACTTGCGGGGGTTGAGAGGAGAGGTATTATCAGGGGAAATCACCAAGCCATTACGACTATATAGCACTTGGAAGGGGTCAGGACAAGGATTTGGGATGGGACGGGGGTGGGGGGGGGAAGGAATGGTGGCCAACCACTTGGAGGTCAGGGATTGAACGCCGACCTGCATGAAGGGAGACCGTCGCTCTACCGTCCAGTCCAAGTGGTTGGGTTTGCAGGGGTAAGCGGTCCCGCTTCTCAACTGTCAATCAACTAGCAGTCATCAGGAGAAAACTTTCATGAATACCGCAACTACCTCAAAGAAGAAGATATATTTTATATTTTAGTTTATTGAGACAAATTTATGATATTTTCAATATATCGTGAGTTAATACAACGACTTATTATAAGGTTATATACAGTATAAATAAATATATAAATTATATATGTAGCTTGATAAAATTGTATATATATATATATATATATATATATATATATATATATATATATATATATATATATATATATATATATAATCACCTTTGCATCGCTATGTTATGACACCAAGACGGGTTATGGTTGTGATTTTTTATTATGCATCCCATACCCATCCCGTGGGCGGTGGTGGGAAGGGTTACAGAGGCACACTTATAATTGGTTCAGTAACTGAACCCCAGAGTTCATGTAGCTAAGCAAGTGACACTCTTTTGAAGCTAGTTACACAATTGTTAATGTTATATACATGCAAATATTGCATATTTACCTAAATTTACCTGAGCACAACTATTTCTCTAATAGCCGCACATATATTATGTATTATATCAGATTTAATATACAAATACACGTAGTGTAATTCACTACACTACATTACACACAGAAATTACATAGTTTACACGTGTAATAAAATTATACAGCGGGAGAGAATGGACTACACTAAGAGATCACAGATAACGAAGCCTATGTTCGAACCCCGAGTTCGAAGCTTCGCGTGATGCCCCAAGATGGCTGGCCCGGGCAGCCAGCAGGTGTGTCAGTCTCCACAACACCTGTGTCTCTCGAGGGTGGCACTGTGCCTCTCCTCCCACCTCAGCCATGCCTCGCCTGGCCTCCTCCCTGGCACTGGTGTGTGTGGCCGCCATTCACGGAGCGCTGGCTGACGGGAGCTACGTGGATCTGACCTACAGTTTCGACGAGAGTGCCATGAAGTGGCCCTCTAGGCAGCCATTCTCGAGGGAGGAGCATGCCAGGGGCTACACTCCTCGAGGGTATTGGTGAGTGTGGCACTGGCACATCCTCCCCCCCCCCCCCCGCGCTTGGCACTTACCACCCACGCCCGTCTCAAGTGGTCACTTGGTACTGATAGTTCCTCGTTCTTATCTAAGGCTGTCACTTTCTTCTGCTTGTCTGAGGCTGTCACTTTCTACCTGCTTGTCTGAGGCTGTCACTTTCAACCTGCTTGTCTGAGGCTGTCACTTTCTACCTGCTTGTCTGAGGCTGTCACTTTCTCCTGCGTGTCTGAGGCTGTCACTTTCAACCTGCGTGTCGGAGGTTGTCACTTTCTACCTGCTTGTCTGAGGTTGTCACTTTCTACCTGCTTGTCTGAGGTTGTCACTTTCAACCTGCTTGTCTGAGGCTGTCACTTTCAACCTGCTTGTCTGAGGCTGTCACTTTCTACCTGCGTGTCTGAGGCTGTCACTTTCAACCTGCTTGTCTGAGGCTGTCACTTTTTACCTGCGTGTCCGAGGCTGTCACTTTCTCCTGCGTGTCTGAGGCTGTCACTTTCAACCTGCTTGTCTGAGGCTGTCACTTTCAACCTGCGTGTCTGAGGCTGTCACTTTCAACCTGCGTGTCTGAGGCTGTCACTTTCAACCTGCGTGTCTGAGGCTGTCACTTTCTACCTGCGTGTCTGAGGCTGTCACTTTCTCCTGCGTGTCCGAGGCTGTCACTTTCTCCTGCGTGTCTGAGGCTGTCACTTTCTCCTGCGTGTCTGAGGCTGTCACTTTCTCCTGCGTGTCCGAGGCTGTCACTTTCTCCTGCGTGTCCGAGGCTGTCACCTTCTCCTGCGTGTCCGAGGCTGTCACTTTCTCCTGCGTGTCCGAGGCTGTCACTTTCTCCTGCGTGTCCGAGGCTGTCACTTTCTACCTGCGTGTCCGAGGCTGTCACTTTCTACCTGCGTGTCCGAGGCTGTCACTTTCTCCTGCGTGTCCGAGGCTGTCACTTTCTCCTGCGTGTCCGAGGCTGTCACTTTCTCCTGCGTGTCCGAGGCTGTCACTTTCTCTTGCGTGTCTGAGGCTGTCACTTTCTCTTGCGTGTCTGAGGCTGTCACTTTCTCCTGCGTGTTCGAGGCTGTCACTTTCACCTGCTTGTCTGAGGCTGTCACTTTCACCTGCTAGTTTTAGACTATCACTTTCTCCAACATATGAGACTGGCACTTTATCCTGCTTCAAGAATGAGACTACTACTGTACTATCTTTTTCTCTTGTTTGTAATAACTATGAAGCATATGAGACACTTGCCCGACACTTGGCACTAAAGCCACTAATGCACTGTACGTAGTAGTGGCCTTAGGCATAGTATATACTAGCTCTGTCTCAAAATTCAACATTCTGTTTATAACTCATTTTGTATGTATGCACTTTTACCTAAATATATAATAATTATTAATATTATCAACTATTACAACTGGAGCCGGTCGGCCGAGCGGACAGCACGCTGGACTTGTGATCCTGTGGTCCTGGGTTCGATCCCAGGCGCCGGCGAGAAACAATGGGCAGAGTTTCTTTCACCCTATGCCCCTGTTACCTATCAGTAAAATAGGTACCTGGGTGTTAGTCAGCTGTCACGGGCTGCTTCCTGGGGGTGGAGGCCTGGTCGAGGACTGGGCCGCGGGGACACTAAAAAGCCCCGAAATCATCTCAAGATAACCTCAAGATAACCTGACTGCCACTTTCTCACTACTGAAGTCAAAACTGGCACCTTCATGCTGCCATGCTTGAGGGACAGGCATATGCCTACTGCCGTGCCCAAGGGACAGGCGCCTTCCCACTGCCATGCCCGAGGGGCAGACACCTTCCTGCTGTTGTGCTCGAGGGGCAGATGCATTCCCACTGCCATTTCCCGAGGGACAGATTCCTTTCCACTGCTGTGCCCGAGTGGCAGGCACCTTCCCAAATAAATAGAGAGTCCTGGTAGTACAGTTGGGTTCGTTCTCGACTCACAATCAAGAATTCCCTGTTCAAATCCCGGGCGGAACAGAAATGGTTGGGAGTCTTTCCTATCACTGAATGCCCCTGTCCACCTAGCAGTAAATAGATATGCATGAGTTAGTCAGCTTGTGGGGTGGCATCCTGGAAAGGGTCAGTAATTCGGCTCTGGCAGGGGCTCAATATAAGCCTAACGTGTACTGTACTGTATGTATAAATTGGCTGCCTGTTCCCTCACACAATGAATTAAGTTAATTCCCTGCCCAAAACACTATGCACATTAGTGGCTTTGCAAGAATGTGAGAACACCAATGTAATTTACTGTCACAACCCAATGTATCTTCTTGTATATAAATAAATTATTATTATTAATTATTATTATTATTATTATTATTATTATTATTATTATTAATTATTATGACAATGTCACTTGGCAACCTTAAGCCAACCTAACACCAAAGCAGTTGCATTAACTAATTGATTCTACTTTAAATCACTTGAAACTTCTTGGGCTCACTTGATACCTCCCTGACACGCCTAACTTCCCTGGCACTTGCCTGGTGCTTGCTTGAGATGTGGCTTTCCCATGGTGCTTATCCTAAACTCCCCCAGACACTTGCCAAAGCCTTTTTGACACTTGCTGTAGACTTAACCTATGATTGTTTGAGCATGAAGACTGAACAGATCCTCAGAAAGCAATTACTATTTATGGGTTTTTGACCACAGGAATAATACCTGTTATTGGGGACAGGAAACCTGGTGTATTGAGACCCCTCTAGGCCATCTAATCTCTTACCCAAGACAATGCCTCTTGGGTTTCCTAACTTCCAAGTACCTATTTAACTGCTAGGTGAAGAGAGGCATCAGGCAAAAGGAAACATACCCAACCAATTCAGATTGGTTGAGTACCTAACTGGGGTTTGAACCCGGTTCCCTCAATTGTGAGCCGAAGATCTAGACCATCATACTACAGGACCCTGATAACTCTTCAAAAACTGTAATGACTGAACAGATCTAGAAGACATTAAAGGTAACAAACATATGCAATAACAGAATTTCTAATTACTTTTCCAGATGTCTTTGGTGGTTATAACTTTATTCTCCCCAAGTCACAGAGTAGAATCAAGAAGGATTCGATTCTTAACGATTCTTCGCGGCAGGGGATCGTATTCCAGGGACCTGCCCGAAACTCTACGCGTACTAGTGGCTGTACAAGAATGTAACAACTCTTGTATATATCTTAAAAAAAAAAAAAAAAAAAAAGTTTCTTGAATGGGTGACATCGGCGAAGTGTGTCGAGTATTACCCTCGGATGTTTTAAGACTTTTGGGAGCATTGAAAATGTGTGCTGAATATTTCCACACTCTTGTTGTTAGTAAGATAAATTGTCTCTGCTTCTTTTCATAAAGTCTCAAGAATGTATAAAAATCCATATAGGCTTACAATACTGTACTGTATACACTATATAATATAAAAAATCAGCAACAGTGAGTACAGTAAAGGTTGTAAAACCATATATGTACTGTAAATAATTCTTATTTAGTCACCATGCAAAATGATTATTCTTTATATTAACATTAAGTGCTTTAGATTACAGAAATTAAGAAACATTTAAGTACATTTCAAATGTACTGAAATGTACTAAAGTACATTTCAGGGGGGTTTCGTGTGAAATGTTTAATTAAAAATTGTATAATGCACTGAACTGCACAAGTGAGTTAAAGTACAGTACTGTTAAAGGATGATAATAAAGTTTTAGTATGTTGTTTAATTTCAGTTTTTATTCTATATTAAGCACTTTCATCAACGTTCTCTTTGGCCTTCAGGTATGAGTCATACAGCTTCTGCATGTCTGAGCACGCTGGTACTCACATGGACGCTCCCTCGCACTTTGCCGAGGGCAAGTGGTCTATTGACCAAATTCCCATCACTCACTTCATGGGACAAGGTCAGAGCTTATCCACACAAATAAACATCAGTTATATCAGACTGCCACTGTACATTCAATATTAGCAGTGTTAATTACTTGTATTTTCTGCCATAAAGGTGCATACAATTTACAAGGATATTGTACATTTCCAGCTAAATGTCCTGTAATATCTTGTAATATTGTCACTTACTTCCAGTGCTTCTTTTAACCAACAAATTGTACCATAAATATTACACTTGTCAACAGTTTAGTATTGCTAACAGCTGGGCTAAAATTCCAGCTGTTAAGCCCATGTAGAACTGTCACACTTCCTCATACATTTTTCATATTCCATCATGATGACACCTTAGCATTTTACCTGAATTTACCTGATGGCCACTAACAATAGTGACCTCGACAAGGACAAGAAGTTGGCAGCTTGTCAAAGGTCCCCCATTTGCCCTGATGATCTTTTCCAGTTCGGAAAATTTTTCAATTACCTTCCCCTTGTATCTTCTAATATTCTTGTGATTGCTTACCATACTCATGGTTGCAGATCTACAGTTAGGTTAGTTAATATATTGTGTGCCCCATGTCCATTTTTGTAAATGGTAGTGGAAAAGATTACAGAGGTAAATGATAGGCTCTTGTACTGAACCCAACATTTTTGTTAGCTTAGCAAGTCACAGCTTTAATGAGCTGGTGACAGAATTTGTTAAAATATACAACAATGTATTCATAGTTTTGGTTACTTTAACTTAACATGAAAGACTCAGTCACTTAATGGGTTCAAGAGCTCGACTACAATGTTCTATAGGCAAAGCAATGTAAATTTGTTGTGTTTTACACTAGTTACAAGTTTGATTGCTTTAAATTTGTAATAAAGTTAAAGGGAAAGTAATACATTATACTGTACTGAAATTACTGTATCTAATGTTACAGTATGTGATCATGAGCCAAGCAAGTAAGAGACTGACAGGTAGTGTAAGCAAACAATGTGTGCTCTATCCATATAAACCAGTTTTTCAGATTTGTTGTTGTTCTTTTAATAGTCTGTAATCCTAGCTAATGTATGACACAAAGTACATGTAATGCCATTGTTCTAATTTTAATATTTGTTACTCTAGTCACACTAAAAGCATTTCATCTATCCTAGGTTTAAGAAAGCTTAATATTAGTGGCCAATCTTTGTAAGCCTGCTTCATATTTCAAACTAACACATTTAACAAAGCTTGTGCTATATTTATAGAGAAAAAAAAAACATTATTTATTTCATGAAAAGCATTTCAAGCATATTATAATTGTTTATTTTATTTTAATAGGTGTGGTAGTAGATATACAAGATAAAGTAGAAAATAATCCAGTTGCTGAACTAACCTCTGATGACCTGATGACATGGATGGATGAACATGGTCCTCTTCCTGATGGTGTTATCCTCTTTGTGAGGACTGGCTGGGGGAAACGGTGAGTGTTTAAAGAGGATACTGAGAGGAGAAAAGTGTCTTTGGGTGCTGGGAAATCAATGGTTAATATTAAGGAAAGGAAATAAAGAAAATGTTTGAGAGCTGACAAATTAAAAATGCTCTTGTACTTTTGAAGAACCAAGAAAGTACTTATCTTTTAAAACCATATTAGTCTCTTTCAAGGTGTTTCACTTTGTATTCTAGAGTTCTTCATGAGCAAATTGGTAGTCTAATTGCTCTTGTGTTAGACTGTCAAAGAGCTGAGATGGCCGAGGTGAAGTATTTGGAGGAAGAAAAGGGTCTTTAATGGTTAACCTTTCAACTGCATAACAACCAGAGTTGTTTTATCGATGGTGCGCATAACAACCAAGATTGCTTTTTAGGCCTAGCATAAGATTTAAAATTCCCATGGGTACAAGGGTCTTACATCCTGTTCTTCAGGTCTCTAGTGATCAGACAGTGTCTTTGATAAAATCATGGGCACCAATTCAGGGTAATTACCTAAGTGTAGTTACAGGATGAGAGCTACGGTCATGGTGTCCCGTCTTCCGAGTACTCTTTGTTGTATAACGCTTTGAAACTACTGACGGTTTTGGCCTTCACTGCCTTCTCACTTAATTTGTTCAAACTATCACCCACTCTGTAAAACAAAACTGACATTTTTTTTTGCCACCTTTGTTTCCTTAGCTTGAATCTGTGTCCTCTTGTTCATGAAGTTGCTGGTTTCAGGAATTCCTTTGTCAATTTGGTCGATTCCTTTTAGTATTTTGTAAGCTGTGATCATATCGCGTCTTTTTCTTTTATCTTCTAGTTTTGGCATGTTTAACGCCTCTAATCTCTCCTCGTAACTCTTGTTTTTCAGCCCGGAAGATATTTTGTAGCATGCCGTTGCACCTTTTCCTGTTTATTTATGGCTTCTTGAGATTTAGGCACCATACAACATGTAATAGTTGTGCAGTGCGGGGGACCCCGGCTGAGTTATACCTGTATAAGGAAAGTGGATATTTTACTTGCTACATGAAATGATTGAGTAGGCTATACAAGAAGAGATAGTGTATGGAAGAATGTAAGTTCTTTCTTTTAATGGATAATTTGAAAACAAAAAATTGTATTTATTTCCTTATTATTCCTGAGGATTTTTTGCTGTTGTATTTTGAATTGAAGCACAGTGTTGGTATTAATGGCTTCAGTGGGTAAGAGATTCTATGGGTTTTCACCCTGCGGGTGAAGAATTATCTTGTATTGTTGGCAATGTCACTGACACTTGATTTAGGCTTTTTTTGTATACAGTAATTAGTGTGCATAAGATGTAAACAATAAATATATCAGTTTCTATATCCATAGATATTAAGTTTTAAAGTTCATTTTTGTTGAGCAGTGTGCACATTAATTTATATATAGATGTGCTAAGAGTCCTCTCGCAACACTATATTTAATTCAGTTTCTAATACAGTATAAGACTCCTTTCTTTAATAAATCAGTCCTCTCGGGTGTGAGTCGAGGTACTGTACTTATAAGTGGTGGAGTAATGACTCTCTCTTATACAGTAGTAAAAACTATTGGATTATTTGTGAAGACAGAAGAGCAGTTCAGTAATTTATATGATTAAAAGTATTGAATAAATAGGCTCTGGATGAAATAACTAAGAAATGCTATTTTCAGTTTCAAATGAAAAGTATTTTTGGTTTTTAGTCCTGCAGCACAGTGGTCTATGTCCTCGGCTCTCAATCGAAGGACCTGGATTCACTCCCCGGATGGTGCATAAATGGTTGGGCATATTTTCTCTCACCTGATGCCTCTGTTCATCTAGCAATTATAGGTATCAAGGAGTTGGGCAACTAACCATTGTTGTATGCATCCTGGGGGAGGGTCAGTAGTTGGGTCAGGATGGGACCACAATAAACCTAAGGGCAGTCTTGTTCTGTTTCAAGTGCAGGGAATTAAAAGATTCTGTGCTGTAAATACAAATACCAAATAGGTATATTTTTTTCTTTTATTGATATGATATCTGAGACCAATAACTGCGTAACGTGGTGGATGTGGGGTCCCTCGATTGTTTCAAGCGCGGGTTGGACAAGTATATGAGTGGGATTGGGTGGTTAGAGATAGGAGCTGCCTCGTATGAGCCAATAGGCCTTCTGCAGTTGCCTTTGTTCTTATGTTCTTAAATTATGCTTCATTTACTGTAATTAACTAATGACGGCAATTTTTAATATAAAATGCATTATTTTCCAGATATGGTAATAAAACGGCATATTTTGGCACTGACACTAATGATACAAGCAACCTCATCTTCCCAGGTAGGGCTTTAGTATTAGTGTTAAATTTTACATAAGTAAAATTCCTGTTTGAGGATATTAAAAATGTATTTATCCTATACCAAAACCTAGAATAAGAATACAATTATTTTCATGTTTTTTTGTATCTTTAATGTAATTATATGCAACCTCTCATGTTGGAAAGTAAGAAGATACTTCTCTTCATTGATGGTTTTTTTTTTTGATGGTGCTCGCACTACACTGCCTGGTCATTCTCAACAAATACAAATTATTTTGATGCCGAGTCTTATTAGTCCAGAAAGGCATGCATTAATAGTGCTTTTAGATTTGATAAAAGAATGAGGTACTTTTATTCCTAAGAGATACAAGAGTATCTTAGGAATACTTTTTCTCATTCATTCATTCTCAGATAATATAAGGAACCTAATCATAAACAACAAAACCTAACAAAAATCACATCATCCTAAGAGGTGACTTCAACATTGAGCTTTGTCAATAAAATAGCCCCCAAGTTGAATACTGTACTTCAAAAACAGCTTGAACTCCAGTATGCTAATTCCTACAATTACCAAGCCCACACGAATTACTCAAGCATCTGTTACAACTTGGACCATATATGGACTAACATAACAGCCCCCCCCTGCCTCTGGTATAATCACTGATAGAACAACCGATCACTATCCTACCTTCCTCTCGGCAAACGTGGACATAACACCCTCGGATACCAAGAAACTTACACTACACACAGAAATCACAATAGCGTGATGCATCAAATGAACAAATCCACAAGGGCCGTGACGAGGATTCGAACCTACGTCCGGGAGCATCCCAGACGTTGCCTTAATCGACTGAGCTAAGACAGTCTAGCGACCTACTATGACGAGGTTCGAATCCACGTCATGGCCCTTGTGGATTTGTTCATTAAGAAACTTACCTTTAGGTTACACAGTCAGTCATTCCAGAGCTAAGTCATCTCTCGTATCAGGAATGGTTGAGGGGCCACAGGGCTAACACTGCAAACCAGGCATGACAGGGCTAATCTCATTGAAACTTAAAATACTGAACAATTTGGAGGATGTCTAAATGTCCAGTCTAAACTCGATTATGGTTGCCCTGTTTACTCATCTGCTGCTGCTTCTACTTTTCACTGTCTTGATGCTTTGCACCATACTGGGTTGCGCCTCTGCTCTGGTGCCTTTCATTTGACTCCCGTCCTCAGCTTGTATGTTGACACTGGCTTTGTCTCTCTGGGACCGCCATGATTGCTACTGTCTTTGCTATCTTGTGCGGTCTGTACAACATCCTTCCTCTTGCCTCTGTCGTGTTTTGACTTTTACCCCTCCAGTAGTTCCTGTTCCTCTTCACCACCTCCCTCTTTCTGTTTGGCTATCTCGCTTACAGGATTCTCTTTCAGTTCGTATTTCTAATGTTTCTCCTCGTATTGTTCCTGCCTTGCCTCCATGGAGAATCCCCCTTCCAAAGTTTTGTACATCCTTGACCCACATCACTAAAGCTTTTACCCCTCGTACGGTTCTGAAACGCCTTTTCCTTGAGCACTTTTCTTCGCACTCCCGCTCCGTTTCCATTTTCACCGATGGGTCTAAGTATGCGAACGGTGTGGGCTACTCTGTTGTTTTTCCTGACCACACTTTTATTTATTTATTTATTTATTTATGCATATACAAGAATGTACATAAGGAATGTGAGGATACAATTATGGTAATTACAGTCTTGTAAAGCCACTAGCACGCGCAGCGTTTCGGGCAGGTCCTTAATCTAAGAAAATTTTAAGGAGGTAAATACTTGCAAAATTTATAGACAAAAAAATGATAACAGATTACATGGAATGAAAAAAAAAAAAAGATGAGAGAAAATTATAGGTACAGTATATTAAAGCACATAGGTAGCTATGATTGATTGCAATGACAGCTTAAAATGGTAGTTGACAACAAATTGGTAGGCACAATACAGCAGAAACAATATAAGATTGATTGCAATGACAGCTTGAATGGTAGTTGACAAAAATTGGTAGTCACAATACAGCATATGGCTAGCACATAAAAGAAGACAGCAATGAACACAATGATAAGGTTGTTTGATATTACATAAAAATTAGGAGATTGGGTACCACTAGGTACAGAGCAAATTTAAAGCTCAGTGTAGGAAACTAAATAGATGAAGTTAGGTACTTTTTGGTTTTGCTTTTAAATAAGGCAAAAGTTTTACAGTTTTTCAATTCACTAGGGAGTGAGTTCCATAGACTAGGTCCCTTAATTTGCATAGAGCGTTTACACAGATTAAGTTTGACCCTGGGGATATCAAAGAGATATTTATTTCTGGTGTGGTGATAATGGGTCCTATTACATCTGTCCAGGGAGAGTTTCAGAGCATGGTTTGCATTTAAGAACAGGGTTTTGTAAATGTAGTTGACACAAGAGAATGTGTGGAGGGAGTTAATATTTAGCAAGTTTAGAGATTTAAACAAGGGAGCTGAGTGTTGTCTGAAAGCAGAGTTAGTTATTATTCTGATAGCAGATTTTTGCTGTGTGATGATGGGCTTAAGGTGGTTTGCAGTGGTAGACCCCCATGCACAGATACCATAATTAAGATAGGGGTAGATTAGTGCATAATATAGTGAGAGGAGAGCAGAGTTAGGAACATAATATCTGATTTTGGAGAGTATACCAACTGTCTTAGAGACTTTCTTAGTTATGTGTTGAATGTGGGTGCTGAAGTTGAGTCTCTTGTCTAGGAATAGGCCAAGAAACTTGCCATCATTTTTATTACTGATGTTAATGTTGTCTATCTGTAGCTGAATTGCATTTGATGATTTGCTTCCAAATAAGATGTAGTAAGTCTTTTCGATGTTTAATGTTAGTTTGTTCGTTGACATCCATAAGTGGACTTTTTTTAATTCATTATTCACAACATTATTTAGTGTATGTGGGTTGAGGTTTGAGTAGATAAGGGTAGTATCGTCAGCAAACAATATAGGTTTGAGAATATTAGAGACATTAGGCAGATCGTTTATATATATAAGAAATAGAAGAGGTCCTAAGATGCTGCCCTGTGGCACTCCAACGGTAATTGGTAGAGTGGAAGAAGTTGTATCATTGATGGTTACATATTGGTGTCTGTCACTAAGATAGGATCGGATGTAGTCAAGGGCAAGGCCTCGGATTCCATAATGCTGGAGTTTAAATAAGAGGTAGTTGTGATTAACAGTATCAAAGGCTTTTCTTAGGTCAATGAAGAGTCCAATCGGAAACTCATTTTTGTCAAGGGCTGAGTAGATAATGTCAAGGAGACTAATGATTGCATCATTGGTACTCTTTTGGGACCGGAAGCCAAACTGGCAGGGGCTGAGTATGTCGAATTTTACGAGGTAGGAATAGAGCTGTTTGTAAATAATTTTTTCAAATATTTTTGATAGAATGGGTAGATTTGATATTGGTCTATAATTTTTTATGTCCGCCGGATTGCCTCCTTTATGGACTGGCGTTACTCTTGCTTTTTTGAGGATATCAGGGAAGGTGTGACACTCTATAGATTTGTTGAACAGTAGTGCTATGGGTGGGGCAAGGGCATGGGAGGCTCTCTTGTACACAATGGACGGAATTTCACTGGTGTTCCCTGCCTTGGTTTTTAGAGAGTGTATGATGGACACAACATCTGCCGGGCTGATTGGTGAAAGGAGAAGAGAGTTTGGATAGCTGCCTGAGAGATATGTGTTAATATGTGTCTGAGTCTGTGGGATTTTACTGGCAAGATTAGCACCAACCGATGAAAAGAAACTATTAAATTCATTTGCCATTTCTAAATCAGTTGACGGTATATCCCCATCCTTGTAGAGTTTTATTTGGTTATGTGAGTGTTGTTTAGTTCCTAGGATACTAGAGATAGTTTTCCAAGTGTTTTTCATGTTGCCTTTTGCTTCATTGAATCTATTCACATAATATGCAAGTTTTGCCTTTCTTATGATACTGGTAAGCATTGATGAGTACCTTTTAGCTACTTCCTTTGAAACTAGGCCAATCCTAACTTTCTTTTCATATTCATGTTTCTTGTTGATTGAGTTGAGAATGCCATTTGTGAGCCATGGATTGTTTAATCTTTTGTCAGTTACTTGCTTTGTAAGAAGGGGACAATGAAGGTTGTAGAGGCTTAGAGTTTTGGAGAGGAAGAGGTTAGCTAATGAATTTATATCATGGGTATTATTGAATTCAGAATCCCAGTTAATATTGTGAAGTGCCTCTGTAAGATTGTCTAAAGCTGATTCACTGTGTAGCCTAAATGAAAATTTCTTGCTTTTGGTGGTGTTATGTCCATGTTCGCTATGAGAAAGGTAGGATAGTGGTCAGTTGTTCTGTCGTAGATTATACCAGATACAAGGGGAGCTGTTATGTTTGTCCATATGTGGTCCAAGGTAGTGGCTGATGTTTGAGTGACTCGGGTAGGTTTGGTGATAGTGGGGATTAGCATACAGGAGTTCATGCTGTTAAGGAAATAGTCAACTTGAGAGCAGTTTTGTTGACCCAGGTCAATATTAAAGTCTCCTCCCAGAATGATGTGGTTTTTGTTGAGATTGTTGTTTATAATAAGATTCCTTAGGTTGTCTGAGAAAGAAGCTATGTTAGTATTAGGAAATCTATAGATGGCTCCAATAGTCAAAGAGGATTTAAGGGATTTAATTGTAAACTGAGCAAAAGTATATTCACAGTAGTCATCTCTGTCACTAATAACACTGTTGCAGATAAATGTATCTCGGTAATATATAGCTGTGCCACCACCTTTTTTATTAGGCCTACAGTTATGAATGGCTTTATAACCAGCTAAGTTGTAGAGTTGGGTATAGTCTTTATTTAGCCAAGTTTCTGTTAAAATAATGAACGATAGGTTAGTACCTAGTGCTGTGAGTAGTGCATTTAAATCGTCAAAATGTTTACCAAGTGATCTAACATTTTGGTTATAAACTGATAGATAGGTGCTATTTTGGAGTTTGTTTTTAGCCTGGTGTGCTGTGAAATACTTACAATAATGATGATCAATGTGCTGGTTGGTATAGATATGAGACAGAAGATTTTGATCAGGATCAATATCAGTGTGCATAGAGATGCAGAGGGACACTTGTATGTGTCGCCTCCCTTCTGAGACTAGCATCTTCACAGCTGAACTTTATGCTATTCTCTATGCTCTCCATCTCCTGCTTTCTCGTTGTCAATCCTCCTTTGTGGTGGTAGTTGACTCTCGTAGTGCCCTCATGGCTCTAGGGTCCTTTAATCCTGTCCTTCCGGTGGTCGTTGAGATTCAACATTGGCTGTTTCTTATAAAAAATAAAAATAAATAAAATGTTTATTCAGGTAAGGTACATACATACAAGAGATTTTCCAAAATTTGATCGATTTATAGATAGAGCTAGTATATACAATGCCTAAAGCCACTATTACGCAAAGCATTTCGGGCAGGAAAAACATTAATGACTAAAACTTAATACTAATTGAGTATAAAGAATAAAATGTGTTGAGAACAAATAAAAATAAAGACAAAAAAGGGGGGAACATGGCTGAAAAAGCAGCACAAATAACAATTATGTAGTAGTTACCTCTGTAGTTGGTAACAAACTGCGTGCTCCTAAGTGTAGTGTGTCCCTGTGGCCTTCCTCCTGCCACCGTAACCGGCGAAGGGAAACGGCTCTAGCAAAGTTGCGTATTGGCCATACTCGCTTAACTCACCGTCACTTAATGGAGTGCTGCCCTGCTCCTTTTTGTCCAAATTGCCTTGTCCCTCTTACAGTTGTGCATATCCTCCTTGAATGTTCTGACTTCCAGGACGAGCGTTTGTCTTGCTTTCCGACCGTCCCTCGAGGTCACTTGTCCCTCGATAGAATTCTTGGTAAATCGGATACTTTTGATATAGCTCACCTTATGCGTTTCTGTTCTCGTATTGGCATCCTTGGCGATATTTAGCACCCTCTGATTATTTTGCGTATTTGATGGTGCTACATAGCCTTCCCGGTTTGGAACCTTCTTTTGATAATTACTTACTCACTTCTCTTGACCTTATTCCAAATGTCCACATACTACTAAATGTTGCTTATTGCTGCAGGCATCAACCCAGGAGCTGCACAGCTACTAACAGGATATGAAGCTGCAACAGGACGTCGGGTCTTTGGCGTAGGGCTGGATACACCTTCTCTCGACAATGGGCCGTCAACACTCTTCACATCGCATGTTGAACTCTTCACAGCTAACATTTATGGCTTGGAGAATGTTGCAAACTTGGAGGTATACAATATATATCAACATAGTCTTTTCAGTTGTATTACTGGTATATTAAAATTTTAGTATGAGATTTTTTTTTTTGTATATACAGTATGTGTATATTTGTGTGTGTGTATATATATATGTACAGTATGTGTATATATATATGTACAGTATGTGTATATATATATGTACAGTATGTGTATATATATATGTACAGTATGTGTATATATATATGTACAGTATGTGTATATATATATATGTACAGTATGTGTATATATATATATGTACAGTATGTGTATATATATATGTACAGTATGTGTATATATATATGTACAGTATGTGTATATATATATATGTACAGTATGTGTATATATGTATATAAATAATGTAAATGTTCGTTTGTTCAAAATCGCTAATCTCCAAAATTTCTTCACCGATTTCTTTGAAATTTTCACATAACGTTCCATTCGCATCCAAGCGTGTTTTTATATACATGCTATATAGATGTCACATCTGTGATGGGGAAAAAACAATTTTTTTTTTAAACTGTTTCTTCATGTGCTTTCATGTGAGGGAAATCTTCGAATCCTCTTTACCGATTGGTTTGAAATTTTGACACTACATTGCATTCGAATTGGCGCGTATTTTTATAATAAATAAATAAATAAATAAATAAATGTTTATTCAGGTAAAGTACATACATACAAGAGGTTATACAAAAATTGATAATTTATAGATAGAGCTAATACATACAAAGCCTAAAGCCACTATTACACAAAGCGTTTCGGGCAGGAAAAACATTAAAGACTAAAACTTAATACTAATTGAGATTAAAGTATAAAATGTGTTGAGAACAAATAAAAATAAAAAAGGGGGGAACATGGCAGAAAAAGCAGCACAAATACAATTAGGTCGACAAACAGTGTTGTTTAAAAAATAACAGACATGGGTTGACAATATAGGGGTAAGGTAGGTTACAGGGAATTTATTAGGTAGTGCTTAGTTTTTATCTTAAACTGGTTGGGAGAGGTACAGTCTTTCACATGATTGTCAAGGTCATTCCACATTCTGGGTCCCTTGATTTGTAGAGCATTTCTAGTTTGATTAAGTCGTACTCTTGGAATATCAAAACGGTATTTGTTTCTGGTGTGGTGCTCATGGGTTCTGTTACAACCCAGTAACAGCCTATGTATATAGTATTATATACATACTATATACATGGCTCACCTGTGACAGGAAAAAAACATGCTTTTTCTGAAAAACAGCGCCATCTGTTGGACGTAAGAGCAACACACACTATACTAACTATGTTACGATTCCATTTCAGTGTTTCCGATTTGCATTGATAAATTGAATTTTCATAGATTTTGATTTATTTTCATTTCAATTTAATTATTTTGTGTGACATTGCGTTGGAATTGAGCTGTGTTGTTTACCATACCGTTCATTTCGTAAGTACTGTATAAGTATAGATGCCTCACCTGTGACAGGTAAAAACATTCTTTTATTTTAAGAAACGGCGCCATCTGTTGTATGTAAGAGCAACACACGCTATACTAAATATGTTACGATTCAATTTCCATGTTTCAGACTGCATTGATAAATTGAATTCTCATAGATTTCTATATATTTTCATTTTGATTTAATTATTTTGTGTGACATTTCGTTGGAATTGAGCTGTGTTGTTTACCATACCGTTCATTTCATTTGTATTTTTTTTTTCATTGTTTTTCATTTTGTTTTTTTAACTTTTTCTTATATTTCAGTGATGGGAACATCAGATCATTTGGGAATGCATCAGACGTGGGGAATGGTGAGGAGGATGAGGGGATGGGAGTGGGGGATGGTGAGGATGACGAAGGGGACGGGGAAGTGGGTAATGGTGGGGAGGACGAGGGAATGGGACAGTTGGGGATGATGAGGACGAGGGACAGGGGAATGGAGAATGGTGGGGACGACAGGGTAGTGGGGAATGGTGGGGACGACAGGGTAGTGGGGAATGGTGGGGAGGATGAGGGGGATGGGGGAGGGGGGGAATAGTGGGGAGGACTGGGAGACATGGGAAGGTTGCTGTGGCTCAGCAACGCACCCCATACAACCTGTCTACCATCCCTCCATGGCTGCAGGGTGACTCCATCTGGCCATTTGTGACTGCTATCAGGTCTGCACAACTGATGTTTCCTTTGTGCTGGACACCCACCTGTAGCCAAACTTCTCTTGATGATTCTTCACACTTCTCATTGACTGCTTCATGTCTGGCAATCTTTCCGGGTGACCTACGACAGATGAGACCATGGCTGCCATATTGGTCTGTCGATTCATAGCTACAGATACACTGGCGTTTGATGGAGATAGGGGTGGCAAGGCACAGGGCAACACCAATACTGAGGGCCTGATGGTCTAGTTGGGTGCCCAAGGCGGAATTTTGAGACAGCCAACAGGAAGTCCCTGGCATGGGGAGCTGGCACAGCTAGGAGGCGAGCTTTGTCCTTCCCAGAAGCTGCCTCCAGCAATGCTGTGGCAATGTTCTCCACTATAGGGCTATCCCATTTGGCCTGTTTGCAGACGTTTTGAAAAGTTTGTTGAGGGTGAGAGTTGGCAAGATTGTCCCAGTAGCCGGCTCCACCCACCAATTTGGGATCATGAATCCCAATGGAGTCTCTTAGGTATTCTGGTAGTACTAGTATTTCATTCACTAATTCACCTGTAGCACAGGTCGAGGATAAGAATGATGCCAGCAATGCTAACTGTGTCACCTTGCAAATACCAACGTTCGAGGTTATTACGCCAATTTCCTCGAACTCCAACTTCTGGTTTCGCGGTTTTCGCCCCTTTGTGTCTGTCTCCAGGAGCCAATGCTTGGTGCTCGTCCTGGTCGTTTTCGTGGCTATTCCTTTCTCTCCCCCCCCCCCAGCCATTGCTGGGGCTTCTAATTCTTCTGCTCTCTTGATTCGGGCTGATGTTCCCTTTGTTCCTTTACTTTTTCCTTCGCCTCTCCATTGTTCTGCTGCTCGTATCTTTGTGGGGAAATGGTACACAGTTTGTTCCATTTATCTCCCCCCGAGTGTCCCGCTCTCTCTTCCTGATTTGAAACACCTCCTAGACTCCTTGCCGGAGCCTGTGCTCCTGCTGGGTGACTTCAATTGTCGTCATTCTCTTTGGGGTGACGTTCTGACGAATACCCGGGGTCGCCTCCTTGAGCCGTTTCTCCTCTCTTCTTCCCTGTCTCTTCTGAATTCTGGTGAGCCCACTCATTTGGACTCTCGAACTCGCACCCTTTCTTGTCTTGATCTTTCTCTCTGCTCTTCTTCTCTTTACTTAGATTTCACGTGGCAGGTTCTTGATGACCTCCATGGAAGTGATCATTTCCCCATCCTTGTTTCCTTTTTCTCTTTTCGCCCTTCCCTCTCTTTCCCTAGGTGGCAGTTTGCTAAGGTGGACTGGACCCTATTTTCCCTCAATGCTACTCTCTCTGACCTCTCCCTTCTGCCCCTCTCTCGCGCTCTCCTCCTTTTTCATGCCACTGTCTTCGACGCTGCCCTCCGCTCTATTCCTCGCTCTTCCTCTCGGGGTCCACGGAAGTGCGTTCCCTGGTGGAATGCGGACTGTGCTCGGGCTGTCCGCTGTAAGCGTGCAGCCTGGAAGAAGCACCGCCGTAGGCAGACGACCGATTCTTTTCTTTTCTTTCGGAAAGCGAGTGCGGTGGCCCGTAGGGCCATCCGTACGGCTAAACGTGAATGTTGGGCATCTTATGTCTCGACAATTACGTCCGAAACCCCTCTGGCCCAGATCTGGAAGCGTATCCGCAAGATAGCGGGTAAGTTCGTTCCCGATGTTTCACCGGTCCTTCACCTCCATGATACTCTTGTGGCGGACCCGTTGCAGGTCGCTTCCGAACTGGGTTCCCACTTTTCTTCTGTTAGCTCTGGTCTTCATCTTCCCCAATCTTTCCTTCTTCGTAAACCTGTCCTTGAGTCTCGTCCTTTAGATTTCTGCACTCATCTTCAGCTTCCCTATAATGATCCCTTCTCTCTCTCTGAACTTCGTTCTGCCCTGGCCCTCTGCGGTTCTACGGCGGCGGGCTCCGATGGTATTCATTATGAGATGCTTCGCCATCTCCCTCCGAGCACGTCTCAGTATTTACTGAGTCTGTATAATCGGATCTGGGAGTCGTCGTCAGTCCCTGAGGACTGGCTCGATGCCGTTGTCCTCCCTGTTCGCAAACCGGGGTCTCTGGGTACTTCCCCTAAGGACTTTCGCCCTATTGCTCTCACAAGTTGTGTCTGCAAACTCTTTGAACGTATGGTTAACGTTCGTCTGATGTGGTTCCTGGAACACCATCACCTCCTCTCCCCTTCTCAATTTGGTTTCCGCAAGTGCCGCAGCACGACAGATGTCCTGGTGAACTTGGAGGTCTATATTCGTACTGCTTTTGCTGCGAAGACCTCCGTTGTTGCCGTCCTTTTTGACCTAGAAAAGGCTTACGACACCACTTGGCGTTATCATATCCTATCTCAACTTCATTCTTTTGGCCTTCGTGGTCATCTCCCTCTCTTTCTCCGCAGCTTCCTCTCTCGTCGTTCCTTTCGGGTGCGCCTTGGTACCGCTCTCTCTCCCTCTTTTCAGCAATACGAAGGTGTGCCCCAGGGTAGTGTTCTGAGCACTACTCTTTTTCTGGTTGCCCTCAATGGTCTTCTTTCCTCTCTTCCTTCTGGTGTCTTCTCCGCTCTCTATGTCGATGATCTTACCCTTTGTTGTCAGGGAGATGATTCGCCTCTCCTTCAACGCCGGCTTCAACTTGCAATTGATGCCGTGTCGTCTTGGGCCACAGGTCATGGCTTCAAGTTCTCTACTTCTAAGACTTGTGCCATGACTTTTACGCGGAAACGGGTTGTTCTTCGTCCCTCTTTGTCACTTTATGGTCATCCCCTTGAATACAAAGATTCCGCGAAGCTTTTGGGGTTATTCCTTGACACTCGTTTGTCTTGGTCTCCCCATATCTCTTACCTCCGTGTTGAGTGCTCTAAGGCCCTTACCCTCCTTCGGGTCTTGTCCCATACTTCTTGGGGGGCAGATAGGCGCACTCTCCTTGCTTTACATTCCTCTCTCGGCCTGTCTAAGCTCGATTATGGTTGCCCTGCTTACTCGTCTGCTTCTCCTTCTACTCTTCGCCGTCTTGATGCTTTGCACCATACTGGGTTGCGCCTCAGTTCTGGTGCCTTTCGTTCGACTCCCGTCCTTAGCTTGTATGTTGACACTGGCTTCCTGTCTCTCCAGGACCGCCGTGATCGCTACTGTCTTCGCTATCTTGCGCGGTCCTTGCAACATCCTTCCTCTCGCCTCTGTCATGCTTTAACTTTTACCCCTCCTGCGGTTCCTGTTCCTCTTCACCACCTCCCTCTTTCTGTCCGGTTATCTCGCCTACAGGATTCTCTTTCCGTTTGTATTTCTGATGTTTCTCCTCGTGTTGTTCCTTCTTTGCCCCCGTGGAGGGTCCCTCTTCCGCGGTTTTGTACATCCTTGACTCGTATCACTAAAGCTTTTACCCCTCCTACGGTTCTAAAACGCCTTTTCCTCGAGCACTTTTCTTCTCACTCCCGCTCCGTTTCTGTCTTCACCGATGGGTCTAAGTCAGCGGACGGTGTTGGCTACTCTGTTGTTTTTCCTGATCGCACTTATATGTGTCGCTTGCCTCCGGAGACTAGCATCTTTACAGCGGAACTTTATGCTATTCTGTATGCTCTTCGTCTCCTGCTTTCTCGTTGTCAGTCTTCCTTTGTGGTTGTTGTTGACTCTCGTAGTGCCCTCATGGCTCTCGGGTGCTTTAATCCAGTTCATCCAGTAGTTGTCGAGATCCAGCATTGGCTGTTTCTCGTTCACAGTAAATTTAAGTCGGTTGAGTTTTGTTGGGTTCCCAGCCATATTGGCGTGTCTTTAAATGAGCGTGCGGATGCTGCCGCTAAGGAAGCTGTCCGCTCTTGTCCCATCTCTCGTAAAGGCATTCCGTATTCCGACTTTTACCCGGTTATCCATTCCTCAGTCCTTACCCGTTGGCAGGCTTCTTGGTTGTCTGTTACTGGTAACAAGCTACGTACTCTTAAATGTTGTGTTTCCTCGTGGCCGTCCTCCTTCCACCGTAACCGGCGGTGGGAAACAGCTCTGGCGAGGTTGCGTATTGGCCATACTCGCTTAACCCATGGTCACTTGATGGAGCGCCGCCCTGCTCCTTATTGTCCTAGTTGCATTGTCCCTCTTACGGTCATGCATGTCCTTCTTGAATGTCCTGACTTCCAGGACGAGCGTGTGTCTTGCTTTCCGACCGCCCCTCGCGGTCACCTGTCCCTCGATAGAATTCTTGGTGACTCGGATACTTTTGATATCGTTCGCCTTATGCGTTTTTGTTCTCGTATTGGCATCCTTGGTGATATTTAGCGCCCTCTGATTATTTTGCGTATTTGATGGTGCTACATAGCCTTCCCGGTTTGGTGCCTTCTTTTGATAATTACTTACTTACTTGCAAATACCAATACCCCTGAATCTAACTGGGAGTGTTGCTTGGTCCCATTGGTATAGTAATAATAATAATAATAATATAATATTTTAATTGGGAAAAGTACATACACAGATGCAGAGTTACAAACATTCTGATTATTTATAGACAGAGCTAGTACATATAAATACCTAAAGCCACTAATACACATAGCATTTCAGGCAAGGTGTGGAAGAAAAAACTTAGACTAAAACTTAATAGTAATTGAGCTTAATGTATAAATTTGATTGAAAGAAAAAAAAATAAGATAAAAAGGGGGAAACATGGTAGAAAATAGCCAATATACAAGTTGGTCAACAAACAGCATTGTTTAAAAAGAATAAGACATGGGTTGACATTTAGGGGTGAGGTAGGTTACATGGAGTTAATTAGGTAGTACATGGAGTTAATTAGGTAGTACTTAGTTTTAATCTTAAACTGGTTGAGAGAGTTGGTTGGTTGGAGGTTGGTAAACTGGTTGGTCATCTTGCAGGGACTGTCGAAGGAGGGAGCACACCTCGGGAAATAGGTAAGCCTGGGCAATGCCAGGCACCTTGTGAGGAGGTACTAAGCATCATGGGCATCTAAAGCCATTAGTCTTCCCTCCATCTTCCTCAGGTCGTTCAGCTTTTCTTCAAGGATTACCTCAATGACACTCGAGCCCAGAGGTGCCCCTAGCAGCACACTGTTGGCGGGAGCAATCACTGGGGCTCCTGGCAACATGGTTCGTACTGCATCTATGATTGGTTCGCTAAATGAGATGATTTCACACTTTGATGGATTTAAGGCGAGTCCTAATTCCCCTCCCTTAGATTTCACTAGATGTAGATCCCCTAGAAGGGACTCTTGTGTCCCTGCCAGGAGTGCCACTGTCCAGGAACCAGATGTTGAGTTTGCAGGTCAACCTGATTGTGACCTCTTTACCGCCATGCAGAAAAGGAAAGGGGCAAGTGGGTCTCCCTGCTGGACACCTTCTGCGGAAACAATTTCATGTTCCCTAAACAACAGTGTCGATTCCCTACTGTACCCTGCTCAAATGAAGGGGAGTAGACGAGGAAAGCTTGTTAAAACTGCTTCCAGTACCACATCCTTTTTTACCTGGTTGCTTCAAACATTGGTGTTCTCTTCCCATTGCGAGTGCTTTCGGGTCGTTGGTCAAATAGCCTTTACTATCAATGACTTTTGTAAAGTCTGCAACGAACCCATATTATATTTAATATTTCAGATCCTATATACTACAGGTATTATGTTTAGTATATCAATTCCTCATTTCAGAAATTTTAAATTTTTCAAATTGTTGTAGAAATTTTAACCGATAATAATTCTTTCTTCAACAGAAGTTACCGACCACTGGATTCCAAGTAATTGTTATGCCCATGAAGATTCGGGGGGGCAGTGGTGCACCTGTACGCATCATAGCAACCCTTTCTGATGCCAATTCCACTTCACATGCCAGTGCACCCATGTCTCTACTGCACTTTACAGCCACTGTTTTCTTGTTAGTCTGTAGATATCTGCAAAGCTTGTAGTCAGGTTGTTCTCAACTGTTAATTTTTTACAGGACATGTGGTTGTCTCATAGCAAGCACAGGACATTACTTCCATGTGGAATACTGTAATGCTTATCTCAACTACATTGCTATGCAATGTTTACTTGCATTTGGTATTAAAATGTCATGTGCCTACTTTTTTAAGGTCTTGGAATTACCTGTATTCAATGATACTGTATATAATATACGTACAGTACATTTAATTTAAAACTGGTTGGGGCATATAATCATCCCCAGATACAATATTATACAAATGTACCTGACCAGTTGTACCTTAAGATGCTGGACAAAATATGACTGCAAGCAATGGGCAGGGAACTTGCTGTGCAGATTTGACCAGCATGTAAACACAGATATGACCAACTTTCACCCAAAAAAAAAAATAAAACCTTTACAAAAATGCCATTTCAATTTTACTTTCCATGTAAGATGTGATTATAGCTAAAGAATATAGCATGAAAAGCTAAAGTTTAAGTTGTATATGAGGTACAATATTTTAGCTCAATTGCTGCATTCTTTTGGCCTTCATCACAGTATCCTACTTTATCTTCAAAGCTTTCTCCTTTGTCACATGTTTATAAAGGTGAGGCTTGGTACTGCTTTCTGACATTCATCAAAAGTATGAAGGTGTTCCCAGGTCAGTGTTTTTTAAGCACTATGGTTTTTTTTTTTTTTTTTTTTTTTTTGCTGCTGGTCCTTAACGATCTCTCCTTCCTCTTTTTCCCTAGGTAAACTCGTCTGAAGGTTTTGTACATTTGATGTATGAAAAGTTACTGTATTGCATACAGTAGACTATTGCTTTGATAAAAAGCTAAAAGTAATGAGTGAACTATAGCTTTGTAAAGCTAGGTTATGCCCAAATATAGTAATGTATTTTAAAAACATTCTTAAATGCAGTATTTATGATCTGTAATATTTAATATTATTTATTGGATACATTTTACATTAATGTTACAAAGATTTAACATAAGATTCTGAAGAGTCTGTCAATAAAATCTCATTATTGGTGTAGGATCTGAAGCAAGCATAATATTTTATTTCTCTGAACTGTCGTAATATTTAGAGATGTCTTTCTGCTCTGTGATCTACCTCCATTGTTGAAAGTTGTATTTTTAAAATCGGTAAACATTGTATTCCTTGGAAGAAATATATATTATGGATCCCATTGTCAGGGACAAAAAGTCGTTTTGTTTTTTTTCACACAGGTGCGTACAAAATGAGAACTTCTGACTCATGTTAGCTGGCTTTGAGCTTTCCCTTTCCATTTCTATAGGGTAAGTCTTTCCCTAGTACATGACTTGCCAATTGGTTTACAACCAGGTATCCAATTACTGTTGGGTGAACAAAGGTAAACAGTTAAGGATTGGTACCTAATCAATCCTCAATCAATTTTACTGTAATGTACCTACCAATCTTGTTAATATTTTCTTATAATGTACCTGTTAACATTTTTCAATTTTGCTTGTTTTACTGCTGTTCTTTACTGCTCTGCTTGCAGTAAAACACAATGAATTATGGGAAATTTTAAAGAAGTTGTCTGGATCAATATCCTCCAAATTTTTCAGTAAACTATTTTAAAAAGTTTTAATGAGATCAGCCCTATCATGGTTAACTTGCAGTGTTGTTAGCCCTGTGGCCTTCAGCCGATCCTGATATGAGAGTCTACAGGTCTTAATTCTGGGATAATAATTCTTGCCTGGTGTTGTATTTTCTCCAATGTACCTATGTCGTTCTGAAGATGAGGTCTCCATGTGTTTATAAAAGAATCCGTGCAGTCTCCGTGGTGCAATGGTAAAGCTACCTATGTGCTTTAATATACCTACAATTTTCTCTCATCTTTTATTTTTTTTTCTTGCTTTGTAACCGTTATCATTTTTTATAAATTTTGCAAGTATTTACCTACTTAAAATTTTCTTAGATTAAGGACCTGCCCGAAACTCTGCACATACTAGTGGCTTTACAAGATTGTAATTAGTAATGCACAATCCCAATGTACCTTCTTGTATATAAATAAATAAATAAATAAAGCACTCGTCTCGTCACTTTGTGAGCGCTTTGGCTGGGGAGGATTGACTGGGCGCCAATCCTTAACTGTAGCCTCTGTTCACCCAGCAGTGAATATGTACCTGGTAGTTAAACGATTTGGGGGGACGTATTCTGGGGAAAATTAGGAATAAGGACCTGCCCGAAACAATATAGGTACTACAGTAGTAATTTGACAAGAATGTGAGAACTCTTATACAGTATATATAAATAAATAAATAAAACAGTGAGCTGCACACCAGAGATTTATACTGTACAGTTTAAAAACTACCTTCTTTTCTTCCATAGCGATGATGCCCTTTTTTTTTTCTTTCCATTTCATCTATAGCTCTTCCTCTCAGGAACCTTATGATTATTATTTATACTTTCCTAGTTGTGCTTGTGGGGGTTGAGCTCTGACTCTTTGGTCCCGCCTCTCGACTGTCAGTCAACTGGTGTACAGGTTCCTGAGCCTATTGGGCTCTATCATATCTACATTTGAAACTGTGTATGGAGTCTGCCTCCACACATCACTACTTAATCCATTCCATTTATTAACTACTATGACACTGAAAAAATTCTTTCTAATGTCTGTGGCTCATTTGGGCAATTAAGGGCAAAGTTTCCTTCCAGTTTCCATCTGTGTCCCTTTGTTCGTGTCTCACCCGTGATAGAGAGTTTGTCTTTGTCCACCCTGTCAATTCTGAGAATTTTGTAGGTAGTTATCATGTCTCCCCTTACTCTTCTGTTTTCCAGGGACATGAGGTTCAGCTCCTTTAGCCTTTCCTTGTAGCTCATACCTCTCAGTTCCAGGATGAGTCTGGTGGCATACCACTGAATCTTCTCTAACTTTGTCTTGTGTTTAACTAGGTATGGACTTCAGGCTGGAGCCGCATATTCCAGGATTGGTCTGACATAAGGGTATACAGGGTCTTGAACGATTCCTTGCATAAGCTTCTAAAGGCAGTTCTTAGGTTGGCCAACCTAGCATATGCTGCTGATGATATCTTTTTGATGTGGGCCTCTGGGGACAGATTCGGTGTGATATCAATCCCCAGATCGATCGATCGATCTATCTATCTATCTATCTATCTCTCTATCTCTCTATCTCTCTATCTCTCTCTCTCTCTCTCTCTCTCTCTCTCTCTCTCTCTCTGTCTCTGTCTCTGTCTCTGTCTCTGTCTGTCTCTCTCGCTCTCACTCTGTCTCTCTCTCTCTCTCTCTCTCTCTCTCTCTCTCTCTCTCTCTCTCTCTCTCTCTCTCTCTCTCTCTCTCTCTCTCTCTCTCTCTCTCTCTCTCTTTCTCTTTCTTTGACTCGGTATGACCACAGAACACCTCAGGATCCTCTTCCTGTATGACCACAGAACCCCTCAGAAACCTCTCTCCGTATGACCACAGAACACCTCAGGAACCTCTCCCCGTATGACCACAGAACACCTCAGGAACCTCTTCCCTTATGACCACAGAACACCTCAGGAACCTCTCCCTGTATGATTACAGAACACCTCAGGAACCTCTCTCTGTATGACCACAGAACACCTCAGGAACCTCTCCCTGTATGATCACAGAACACCTCAGGAACCTCTGCCTGTATGACCACAGAACACCTCAGGAACCTCTCCCTGTATGACCACAGAACACCTCAGGAACCTCTCCCTGTATGACCACAGAACACCTCAGGAACCTCTCTCCTGTATGACCACAGAACCCCTCAGAAACCTCTCTCCGTATGACCACAGAACACCTCAGGAACCTCTCCCTGTATGACCACAGAACACCTCAGGAACCTCTTCCTGTATGACCACAGAACCCCTCAGAAACCTCTCTCCTGTATGACCACAGAACCCCTCAGAAACCTCTCTCCGTATGACCACAGAACACCTCAGGAACCTCTCCCTGTATGACCACAGAACACCTCAGGAACCTCTTCCTGTATGACCACAGAACCCCTCAGAAACCTCTCTCCTGTATGACCACAGAACCCCTCAGAAACCTCTCTCCGTATGACCACAGAACACCTCAGGAACCTCTCCCTGTATGACCACAGAACACCTCAGGAACCTCTCCCTGTATGACCACAGAACACCTCAGGAACCTCTCCCTGTATGACCACAGAAGCTTGTCAAAGGCTCCCCCCCCCCACATTATTCCTGAAGATTTTCCAGCTAAATTTTAAACTACAGTATAGTAATATCTTAGCTTTTATAGCTTCGACCTCCTCAGCTTGGTGCCTTCTTTTGATAATTATGGCTTTGATGAAAAGGGAATCTAATAATAAGAAGAGGCTGTGGAGACAAATAATGCGCATCATTTAGTCAAAGATATGCATTGTCTAAATTTTGATTACCATAATTACTTGTAAAAATGTATTGGAGCACACAGTAAGTTTACACAAGAAAACGTCATCCATCCCATATCGTCATTATGTTTCCGTGAACAATGAATAAAACTTGGATAAGTTTAGTTTCTGGAATTTTTTCAGAACCAGGTCCAGGTCTGGAACATGGACCCCAGAACCACCGCATGGTAAAGGGGCCCAGAAGCCGAGCTCGACCTCCCTGGAAGCACATTGAGGTGAGCGTTGGTCGTGTGCAGAGACCATGGAGGAGGAGGAGAAGTGCCGTGTGCACAGGACATATAGTGATGATGGCTGGAGACACGTCGTCAGATAAGACGCAGAGCTTATCATGTTTACCCGTGTGTGTGTGAGTGCTTGTCTGACCATGTTTGAGTGCGTGGCGGCCAGCCAGTCCAAGTCCACCAAGGATGCCCTTCAAGGCCGGCATATAGCCCCGGCATATGCATTCATATGGCGTTTACCACAAATATGTTTAATCCGCCTGGGAAGCAATAAAGGCATACCAGAGTATACTGTCCCACCAGGAGTATACCCGTATTCGTCATGTGACAGACAGCATACCGCATGCACTATTGTAGTTTCCCTTTGAAAGGGGGAAGACGGGAAATCTATTACGGGCTCACCATAGCCCGTGCTACATGGACACTTCGTTCTGAGTAGCTAAATCTGAAACAACAACAGGGAAATTTAACGCGGTCTTCTCTATCCCAACGACTGACCTTTCCCCGGAATGCAAACTACAACAGCTGTGGAGGTGATCAGAGGCACAGACGAAAGAGAAACTGGCCAAACGTCACACAACCTTCCTGGGAATCGAACCCGGGTTCATTCGGTTTTAAGCCGACTACATTGATCACTCTATAACCTACTTTTCATATAATGCGGGAATTATTCCCTACGCATAAGCTTCAATAGATAGGCTCGGTGTTTATAGCATTTATGCTAAATATCCCATTACCGCTGATAATAATAGCAGCTTTATAACAATATAATCATTGTAATAAGCATGTAAGTTTTGGAATATATCTATCGTATATTTAATACAAATAAAATTATTATTAATAATTATTAATTAGTATTAAATATTATGTTGCTCCACACAACAAATATAATCTCACTTCGTGCTGTAGTTTCAGCTTTATGAAAAACAACGCAAGTTTATTTAAGATTCTTTAGAACATACTATTATCTATTACATATTAAGTTGTACAATTTTATGCTAATCAATTAAAACAAAAATAAATAACTAGCTAGCTGTGTAATTGTTTGCGGTCTACAAGCACAATAATAATAATAATAATATAATTACACACAGAAATCACAATAGCGTGATACATCAATGAACGAATCCACAAGGGCCGTGACACATCCTCGAATACTCGTTACGGCCCTTATAGATTTGTTCAATAATATAATATTTTATTTACAAGAAGGTACAATGTGTTGGTGAGATTACATTAGAGTGATATTTTTCCATTCATGCAAAGCCACATAACAGGTTTCGGGCAGGTCTTTAATCTAACATATTAGGTAAGATGAAGAGGTACATTGTACCAAGGTTTTTTTTTATATCAACAATATAAATTGACAGAGGTGATTACACTGGTAAAGATTAAGTAATTAATTAGTCTTAAGTACTAATATTGAGGAAGTGGGTAGTACAAGATAGAGCGTGAGTTTGAAGGACAAGGTAGGAAACTATGAGGATGAAATTAGATACTTTTTTGTTTTACTTTTGAACAGAAGATTGGAATTTTTGTTAATTCACCAGGGAGTGAATTCCAAAGACTGGGCCCCTTTTA